AGATAGATAGATAGATAGATAGATAGATAGATAGATAGATATACACAGTACACACACATGCCATTTTGAATTTTGACGTGGCAACCCAATTTTCGAAAGGAACCTTTCTTTTGTCTAGATGCCACCGTACACCATGGTATTTCCAGTGCTCCCTCTTCGCTCCACGATGGGTAACAAAAATTACCTTGGTCAGATAAAAATAAAATTTAAAAAATCAGTATCGTAAAACAATCAGATATGGATTGCATTTGGTTAAAAAAATGAATTTGAGTCATTTTTGCCTGCAATGTGAGCCTAGTCTTAGTTTTTCATACATAACTTTCCTATTTTGGTTTTCGTCTTGTGAAAAATGTTAAGGGGAAATTGTGTTTTTGTACCTTTGAGGTTAAATTTAAATAATTTTGGATTTAGACCAGATCAAATTTTAATACTCCAATGTCTCAAACAATAAAACTAAAAAGCTGAATGTTCTTTTTCTTATAACAGTAATCCTATATAGGGACTTTCCCATAGCCTGCAAATGTGTAAATGTACCTTTGCTGAAATCCTTGGGATCGAGTGACAGACTGTATCCAGGTAAGGTCTCCAGCAGCAGCTTGTAGCAGGCCCTCCAGCCTGGCTCAGGGATGGTGGGAGCCACACATTGCATGGCTGCCACTCGCTTGAAGAAAGCCGACTTACGATGGAAGCCGATAAGTTCGTAGAGCTCAGACAAAATGCTGTAACGCTGTATCTTCTCCTCCTCTGACAGCTGAAGTTACAGACACATCATTAAAAAATATGCATTTCACATGTTATTACCTTATTGTGTTGAGTGGCTTCACTGTGTAGAATGATGCCTGGGTGTAGCTTCAAATTTTTAAAAAAGCTGTGACATTAATCCAAACAAAAAGTTGTGAAAGATGAATAATAAATTGTATATAATCGACCCACTTTTGAGTCCAAGTATAAAACAGATTATAAAACAACATGCAAAGACTAGAAAAAAATGCATTTTCTTCAGAAAATAAAGTATACTGGCAAAAAATATGGAATCGCCACTCTTGGAGGATGTTCTTTCAACTCTTGGATTTTGTTAAAATTTTGGTTTTGTAATAAAAATTCCAACCTACAGCATTAGGAAACATAAAAAAAAAAAAAATTTAATTGCTGTAGTCTGTCACATTGCTTCAGATCAGTTTTATTTCTTTATTTTTATTTTAGAAAATGCAGTGGAGCGGCACAGTAGCTCAGTTGGTAGAGCTATAGCCTCTCAGAGAGAATGTCGCCAAATCACATTCTGGCCGGGTGGCCATTTTGGGTGGAGTTTGCATGATCTCTCTGTGGGTTTTCTCCAGGTACTCCGGTTTCCTCCCACAGACCAAAAACATGCAAGTTAGACTAATTTGGCAACTCTGAATTGTCCCTAGGTGAGAGAGACTGAATGCTTATTTGTCTCTTTGTGTCCCTGTGATGGACTGGAGACCTGTCCTGGATGTGCCCCCCCCCCCCCCCCCCCATCTCATACAATGACTGCTGGACATGGGTAACAGTGACCCCTGTGACCCAAAAAAGTAAAAAGCGGGTATGATGATGGATGGATGGAAAATGCAGTGGTAACATATATATATACTACAATCATAAGTTCATACAGTGTTGAACCTTGAGTTCTGTTTTACTGGTATGAACAGCAGTTTGCTAACTTCAGGACCTGTAAGTGAACTGGACTCAACAGAGGCAGTGATCATCTTTCAGTTTAGCTAAATCAGCTGTGGTTTCCTTGTGAGCCAGCATACCTGCCCCAGGTTGATGTAAACAGCATTCTGCAGGAACTCAGAGGCCTCTCTGGCTCTTTTCTGGATGGCCAGCACTCTGACAGCTTTAACGCAGGCCTCCAGCTCGATCACGCCGGCGTTCTTATACTGCGAGAGGTGAAAGGAGGAGAAGGTCCATTAATAATTTTTAAATAAACAAGCACCAATGTCTCCTCTTGCGGAGGGATTTGAACAGTGAATGCTTGCAGTCTTCTAGATGAGTGTTTTTCTGGACTGGAATAAAAGAATGTGAGTAAACCTTAATGTTTTTTCTGCAAGATATTCAAGTGGTCAGGAGTTAACTGTGGAGAAGAACAGAAGTAGGAGTTTTGAGGGTTTTCCTCATAAGCAGAGGGAGCAATTTTATCCAGGCCACCATAAATTAATCTTTGGCCACCCTGAGAGTCACTACAATCATTTGTGGGAACTACACAGTTAAGGAATAAAACACTAGAAAGCATGTTTTCTTCAAAATTATAGGGGTAGTCGGTTTACATATAGAGCTTTAGAGCGTGACGTCACTTGTCCGCGGCGCGGCGGCTGATGGGATAGAATTGGGCCGCATCCGCCATTTTTAATGCCCTTCATATTAACTGTCGAAAACAAGCTTTCTCGCTGACTAAAAAAAAAAATCTAAGTAGGTTAAAACAGTTTAGCGATGGTCCGAAATTGCTGCGTTATTGGATGTAATGTCTGGTTACACGACCGGAATTGTAAAAAGATAGAAAATTGACTTTTTTTTATAAATTCTCCACCAGGAAATAACGCGAGGAGCTCATGTGTAGGACGTAACAAAAAGGAGACGTGAGACGTCCTCATAACTTTCTCCAGCGTCCCAAGAGACCTGCTAGTTTGTTCTAGACATTCTGGTGAGTGGCTAAATTCAGTTTGTTGGTGCTGTGCCATAAATGTGTGCCATGATTTTGTCGGGTGTATCATGTTTAGTTCATGTTCATAGAAGTGGGTCAATCAGGTTTAGGTCAGGTTTATATCTTGCGTGTAACCTAGTCCGAGTTTAGACAGAGTGGACATCTGTTGTTTAAAGTTTCTAGTGTTGACACTTTTACTGTAGTAATACTGATGTGTGTTGTGATGTGTCCTCTTCAAGACAAACCTTCAGATGAAACTCCAGGAGAGGAGCTCAGGGAGGCTGCAGATTATGGAGAGGAGGAACATGAACCAGCAGCAAAAAGGTACAAATACAATGTGTGACCAAAGAAGAGCAGAAATAAACCACCTGTTACAGGAGAACAGGGAGCTCAGGTCAGAGCTGAATCAAAAACAGCTGGACAAATAATTTTTATAGTATTAAATATTATACAGGACTTCATTGCTTTGCCATCTTATTGTTTAACACTGTTAGGTATTTTCTGCCAGCATTAAAAACCCTCACAATTTCAAATGGTTCTACTAACACTAATGCATCTGTTCAGCATCTTTGCCATGTTTTGAAGGTGTCACATCAAACTCTGTCTAATACCTGTGTCTTTCTTTTCTGTCCAAGGGATGGACGTCCATCAGACAAGCTCATGACAGAAGCTGTGGTCTTCTCTCCAGATTATTACCCGGGGACGTTGTTATGACAGAGGCTTTGATATTAAAGACAGTGTGGGAGTCAAGCTCAAGGTTCTTTTTTGTCATTCACATCACATGTTGTACATGAGGTGGAACAAAACTGTGTACACAGGGTCCCAGTTACATCCAACAAAAGTATAAATGAATGATGTGCTGAGGTTCAAATCCCATCAGTCACTAAATGGAGATGTGAACTTGATGCTAAGGATGTTGAACACACACGAGCACACCTTAGAGTTCATGTGGAAAGAGTGACTGGTGGCATGAGAAACACAATGTTACACAGAAATATACCAGTTAACTATACTGGTTCTTCCATGTGAGTGTGAAGAGGTGACTCTTCTTCAGATTGTGTGTGCGTGCGTGCGTGCGTGCGTGCGTGCGTGCGTGCGTGCGTGCGTG